CATTGTTGATACGTCCAATAGTAAATGACATGAAAGACCTCTGATATTTTAGTAACCATTGTATTTTGTACATATATTGCTGTTAGTATTATATTATTATCTATATTTAACTTATTGTGTTCTTCTTGAACACAGTTACCCAAGACATCGGGCTATATTTGACATTTACACTGTTACAATGGAAACTCAGTAACTGCCAAACTTAAAAGTATCAAAAGGTTACCTGATACGGTGAAATGTACAGCTAGATCTACAACTAGTACAAATTACAACAGCAGAAGTTAAATACGACAGTAGTATAAAGCGCACCATCGAAAAGACACCATCAATTATTCAATCACACAATGGAACTACACAATATGTGTAAAAATAATATATAATAATTTGGCATAAAAGTATACATAAATGAAAGTCCAACGTAACTACTCAATTCACTGACAGTGACACTACTTAATTCTCACCTTATAGTTATATATTAAACTTATAAAAGACCTGAACAGCTTATGTTTATAACTGCTCGAACTTCGGTTCAATTAAGATTTTTGAAGAAAATCTCGACGTAACAAATTAAAACATGACAATTTTACACAGTACCGTTTATACTAACTCATAAACATAACAACAAATCAAACGCTCACAAAGATTATGCCAAACGGAAATGTACATCATCCTGACAGTAGAAAACCGTTAACGGGATATACTGCCATCTACTGTGAACAGAAAGAAATGTCATTGTCTAATTCTCCGAGTTTTAAAATAGTGTACCTGGTTGGTAAGAGTAATCTAACTATGTGTATTGAAAAAAAAAAGAAGAAAAAAAAAGATTTGGTTTATTTGTTATTTGGTGCAAAGCTACACAAGAGCTGTCTGCGCTAACCGTCACTAATTTTGCAGTAATAAACTAGAGTAATAAACACCACCTACAGCCAACTCTTTGGCTACTCTTTTACCAACGAATAGTGGGATCAATCGATACATTACAACGCCCCTAAAGCTGAATGGGGGAGAATGTTCGGTGTGAAGGGAACTCGAAACCGCGACCCGCAGATTGCGAGTCGAACGTCCTAACTACCAGACTATAAAAGAAATAAAAAAGAAAACGTTTACGGGATTTTTTACTTGATTTAACAACATCCTGCTTTCAACTATAAATTTAAGCAGGTTACATTTCAATTTTCCGGGAGCATTATTGTTTTTTGCTGTTACTATTCTAATTTACATTCAGAAATATTTTTCACAATACTTGTTAATGTGTAATTGATATTTAAAAAAGTTGAGAACTTGACCAAAATATTCACGAATAAGTAATCTGACACTCCTTAAAAATCACCCATAGTTGCTAAATGCCCGAAATTTTTTTGTTGTGCCTTACTTACTTAAAACACTAATCAGATTTTATCCACAAGTTAAAATTTATGTAGTTTTGAAACTAACTTTAGGGTTAAGACACCTTATGTCATTTAAAATATTTTTTACCCAACTCCCTGCGTTTATGGATAATTTACAAATATACGTTCGTTGTACCTATATCGGAAAATCAAAGGACAATTTTTCAATTAATGATTTGATAATCTGTGAGTGAATGCCTTTTAGGTCCGATATTGTGCTTTTAAGTCCAGTTACTTCAGAAATACGCAGCCATATACATTATCTCGTGAAACACTGCTCAATAGCTTGAAAAGCAAGGAACATCACTTCTATTTTAGCCATTAATTTCTTGATCAACCAGCTATCCTAACCATTGGTAAGGCAGTTCATCCTAGCTGTGATGATTAGGAGGGCAAAGCTAACATTATGGTATATTTAGGTTTACCTGAATTAGCTTTAGAACAATGGGATGGATTTCGCTTAACAGGAGATTCGACTAGTTATTCATTACGAAATAGAACTGAATCTTTGTATAATGAGTCTACAGTTAGACACAATAATGCACAAATAAACCATCTTTATGAAATCACAAACAAAGTGTGCATACTTGGTGCTATTAAACACAGGACAACCGCTCCAACTGGATGTAATATTGTCAATTGATCGATAAAGTTCATCTACCATACTGTTTTAAATCCAATTTGCCTTACTTCGTGAGTTGCGTCAGGTTTACCCAGAGTGATTAGTGCTAACTATTTGGTCATTCTCATTTAAAAAAGGGCAGGGCATAAACTCAGATACCACCTGAACTACCATTGAAGAATACTAATTGTCGATCTTCATGCACTATGTACCATATTATAAAAGTACGTCCACGGACAGAACAGGTGTTATCTACAAAGAATGACAAAGGAACAAAGGCAGCTAGAACGAAATTAACTTAACAATTTTATTAACCATGTTTCATATGAAAACTTCACATATAAAGAATAAATGATAAATTCAAAATAATACTATATCCTTGTAAGAACGTTGACATGCATGGTATATTTATATACCACTCTTTCCCCTCTCCCTACTCCAGGCTAACATCACTTTGAACCTCTTGGTAAAGTAATAGATAACAATCTACACGTAGTCATTATGTGTATGGTACATTTTGTTGTTTTTCGTCCTTCGAAATTCGAAGAAGACCACGACATCATTT